TACTTGAAGTAAGAACAAATCATCTCTGGGGCCAGCCATATGGTGGGATTCATTTTTGTTCAAGCCTGATGTCAGCTTCCTGTTTATCCGTGCGTCTGTCAGTTTCATACATAACAAATTTTTGTCGCAGTTTTCTCAGCAACTACTCATTGCAGATGCTAGCTGCAGAACTGTAGCTCTCTGCTTGAGAAAATTCGGACAGAGAGTTACAGATCCAAGCGTTGTAAAAACCTTCGATTTACGCCGACGGTTTTTGTCGCTAACTATGGGTATTTTTTCGCGTATTTTATACTTCCCCCAGCTTTGGAAATAATTTTAAATGGTATTTAATAATAACTCATAGATTCAACTTCAAATCCTGATCATTTACTTACCTCTCAAGGCTAACAAATGGCCGTTTGTGGTTACGGACGTCGAAATGGAACTCTTTCAAACAGACATTACAAAACTATATACAGGACTGTTTCGGACCGTTAAAAGGTAAACAAAGTATCAAATATAAGAGTTGAATATATGAATTATTAAAGGATACCATTCTAAAAGCCAGAGAAAGCTTAAACTTCACGAAATAAATACCTAAAGTAGCGACAAAAAAATCGTCGGCGTAAATCGAAGGTTTTTACAAGGCTTGGATCTGTAGCTCTCTGCTTTATCTGCCCAAATTTTCTCAAGCAGAGAGCTACCGTTCTGCAGTTATGCAGATGCTTGAAATTTTAACACAATCTTTTCTGATGCATGCCATAAAGTGGGATTCATTTTTGTTCAAATTCGATGTCAACTTCTTGATATCCTAGCTGCAGATCTGTAGCTCTCTGAAAAAAATATATTGATAGACCGGAGATCTGCAGCTATGTTTATCTGTGCGTCTGTCAGTTTCATACAGTCGTTTTACCGGTATTGAATCAGTTTGCTGTTTCGTCGTGCATATGCCTGAAATAATCGTAGTTCAGAAATTTCTTGGTTGCTATTAAAGTAAGATTTTTTGCTTTTTAATTTAATGTTATAATTATTCCTAAAATATACAAGATAAAACACAGGGAAGACGATTTCAATATCCCCTACATTCTCCTAGTTTCGAGTAATTTTTCCAGTGTCGAATTATTTCCTTTAAATTTAAGGTTATAAAAGGAATGTATAAAAGATTTTTTTCCCTTTATTTCTTTAAAAAAAATTACAGCCTAATAAAAAACACAGCCTAATACACCCCCCTCCCCAATAAATATATTACATTACTATATGTATATGCATGATTAGTACATTTATTTGTTTATAAAATAGGCCTCTGATTGTAAGAAATGAATCTAAAAATCTTTCAATATTAAATCTATTTAATTTTCACTGAATACACATTGCATCTTTTTCTTTCATTTGACTTAGTGCCAAATGCAATGATTTCTTCACATAAGAAACAAGACTTGTTTTACATTTTATAAAATAGTCACAAGGAATAACCACACCGCTCCCTTTTTCTTGTACTGGAGGCCATGGAGGAAAGCTAGGCCATGGCATTCCAATAGGTTCGCATGATATGTGACACTCTTTATCCAAGAACTGCCGAAAGGCGCCATTAATTCCTAACGGTACATGACCAATTGGGAAGCCTGCAACATCTGACAATTTTAAATATCTTTTTTGGTCAGTATACATTTCATGGCATTCTCTAGGCAGATCTGATAAAGGGGGTATCCATACTAGACAAGCACTAGGGTCATGGGAATTGGAATATTCCCTCTCAATGGGAAGACGTGTGGCAGGATTTGTCATTGGTGGTTTGATTTTGTAAACATGGTACCCTTTTATTACATAGTTTTTTTAGAAGTGGCATCCTCAGTCCCCTGCTGTTCAGGTCTCTGAAAAAATAACAAGAGGCCCATGGTCCTTATAGGTCAACTGAGTATCGTGTAACAACTTTCAAACAATTAAATTTGGTTTGTGTTTTAAACCAGAGAGGCCATGAAATTCACAATTCATAATTTTGAAAGAGGCACCATTGCTTATCATAATTATAAACTTAGCATGCTTACTCTATTTACTTAATACCCAGAGGTAGATCAGAGTAACAGAGAAAATGCACTTCCACTTAATAACCATTTGTGCACCTCACCCCAAAGGAACCACTGACCCTGGGGCCACATATTTCAAAATTTTGCAAATTTTATCATAAAATGGTAGATTAATACCAAACAGCAGATTTCAAAGCATTAATTTATTTTCAGAAAATATAACCCCACCCCACCCCCGACCCAGGGAGGCATAAAAAATAACCATTTTGCTCGATGCACCTTTCTTCATCATAAATATATATACTTGGATCATTGGCATAAAACCCAGGAGCAAAGGAAAAGATTTTCAAAGAGTTAATGCATTTTCACTATACAATCAATAGAGCCCCGCCCTTTCACCAGAACCCCTGACCCTGGGGCCATAAAATTCAAAATTTTGGAAGAGGCACTCTTGCTCATCATAACTATGTACTTATTTAGTTTATTTAATACCCAGAAACAGAGAAGATTTTCAAAGAAGAAATGCATTTTCACTATATATAATCAATAGAGCCCCGCCCTAACACCAGAACCCCTGACCCTGGGGCCATAAAATTCACAATTTTGAAAGAGGCACTCTTGCTCATCATAACTATGTACAAGAACCCCTGACCCTGTGGCCATGAATTCCAGAATATTGGAACAGGCAACCTTATTCAACATAACTTTGTACTTGGTTAGTTTATTTAAATACCCAGAAGCAGAGAAGATGATTTTTAGAAAATAAATGCATTTTCACTGTATAATCTATATAGTCCTGCCCTAGCACTAGAACCCCTGACCCTGGGGCCATGAATTTCACAATTTTGGTAGAGGATCCAATGCTCGTTACATTCATGCCAACAGTTTGCCTGCTTGATGTCCAGGAGTAAAGAAGAAGATTTTTAAAGATTGCAATATTTTTAGTGGTTTTGGCCCCACCCCTTGGGCCCCAGAGGGGGGACCATAAAATTAACAATTTTTGTTCCCCTTTACCCATAGATGCTGTATACCAAATTTGGTTGAAATTGGTTCAGTGGTTTCAGAGAAGAAGCTGAAAATGTTCAAATGTTAACACACGACGCACGACGACGGACGAAAACGGATAGCAACAGGTTACTCAGGTGACCTAAAAAAACGTGTACCAGACATATGTATATAATGATAAAGACAAAATTTTATCAGTAAGTTTTAAAGCTGTATTTATATGATCATAAGATGCTAAAAAAGTAAATTAATGGGGAATTAATTGAAAATATGTTCATTGCTATTTCATACACTTTAATACGGTAATATGAATCATATCTTAAAAAGTTATGAGCAGACATGACACATGAACTGAATTTCAGTTTTCTTCAAGAAAACATCAGAGTAATATTCAAAGTTTAAAGGAATGCAGCCATTGCTGGTATTTTTCACATTGGATCCGTGTGGTGTTGATGGCATTGGCTGCTTCTTCTTCAAAAGAGCCCTGACAAACAAAGCAAAGGGCCTCTCAGGTGATGTTTTTCCTTCTTCTGGCGAGGTTTGCTAACCAATGTGTTTTTTTAGATGTCTCTTGATTTAACAGAAATTTGGATTTTGCTTTTATTTCTCTCTGCTTTTTTTTTTGGCAAAGTTCAGCTGGTTGAGGGCCATGCTGCAGATTGTGTCTGGTGATGTCACATGGTCAGGTAAGGTATTTGATGATTTTCTTAACTTTCTTTTAGGTACCTGAACCTTTGGTAGCTGAAGGAGGCCTAAGAGATTTGATGAAAGATCGTGGACACCTGTACTGGTCTCGGCTATGTTTGTTGGTGCATCAACACTTTCAAACTGCAAAGCAGCATCTGCTAAAATATGCAGACCATATGATCCCTGATTCTCATGAGTCTTCATTTCTCATGTTCTAGGCCCAGTGACATCTTTTGATTTCTTTTTAAATTGTGAAAGAACTTTTTAACATGCAAAATATTGTTTGCGGCTGATTTGATGCTTGGCATCAATTTTACTTATACTTGGTTTTTGTTCGGAATCCGTTTATTTTGCGCATAACGTAACAGTATATATGATGTAACAATTAAGATGACGTCATAATAAACTTAGTGTGATATAGCAACAAGGTCAGAATAATCACAATGGGATGCTTCAATAGTAAATTTGCTCCTTTTCCAACTTCTTTTCGCACCAAAAAACAGAAAAGAGGCTGCGAAAGATACTGAAGAAGAAGAATGGAATCAAAGCCAAAGTGAGCGGGGAAGGCGTTGCCTTTGACATTCCAGTAACTGGTGGAGGAGAGCCATTGCGGTCTAAAGTATCGTGTATGAACAAAAGACTCCAAAGAAAATTATTGAGGATGATGATGAAGTTGCTTTAAAACGTAAGAACAACGTAAAAGTATCTTAAACATACTATTTTCCACCACATTAAGGGTCTAAAATTTTAGGAAATCTTTTACTAATCTATAATCAATTTAAGTATTATAGTTAATAAATGAAAACAAGTTCAAGTATTGGCCTTTTCAAAAGAGGAAGAGTAAAACTAGTAAGTATTTTGAAGTTATAACATGTATAATCTATTTTTTCAGGTAATTAGGAACGTGCAATTACGGAAAAGCAAGAGAGAGCCAAAGAACGAAGGGAAGAAATAGAGAAGAGGAGGAAGGAAAAGTTGATGAGGCAATCGCTACATCGCCAGACAAATTATAAACTCAGTGTTCTGTTTCAGCTGCTGGATATTTTACAGTGATTCGGGATTGAATAAAGAGAATGTCGTCTTTCTATTGTTTAACTAAAATATTTTTGACTCCTTTTAAAAGATCGTTTCTTTGTGTGCGTGTGTGGCTCCCCCATACTGGGGACCTGCTACAGATACGCAAGTCGTAAAATGGGGACATAAAAAACATTGGGGACTTGATTTAAGTCCCCAAACTTTTTTATCGTTGAAAACGAAAAATTGACATGTCTAAATCCTAAAAATATCAAAAACATAACGTGTCCCAGTTACGGGGTTTTATCGGACACATGATTACACAGATATCGTGTTGATTGAAATTGCCATCTTCACTTACACATCTCTGACGTTACACACTTCTAGATTACGCATGCGCGTGTGTAAAAAAAGCGGAAGTCCAATTGTTTCGAAGCGGGATACAATAAACATGTGGAAAAGAAGACACAGAGGAAAGCCTGGACACAGAATCCTAGATTCTTTTGATAAAGATGATTTTTATGCTGAAAACGGTATGTTATCTACTTCTTGGATAAAATATGGTGCGAGGAACATGCATCAAAGTATTGAAGGGGGGAGGGGGGCAGTGACGATTGCTGCATAGGCCTATCGGGTACTCAGTTGAAATGAAAAGACAGTTATTTATGTGATTTTCTTTCTTGAAATAGTACACAATTTATGCTATTCATTTCACAATGATTAAAAATTCATCAAATGAAAGGTATATTAATCGAATGTGTTTTGTATTTCATGTCAACATGAAATGACCTTTTAATACTAAGTTTTAACTCAATTTAACTGAACTAAATCCAGTCCACTTTAAATGTAGTTTATATGTGTGAGTTTTTTTTTGAGCCAATAATGAGATCGGATTGTACCAACCCCCCCCCCCCCTTTCTTCTTGAGATCTGCAACTTATTGTTTTTAAAGCCAAACCTAAGAGCGGGTTGTACCAAACACCTCAACAACCCACCCCCTTCTTCTTGAGCCCAGCAACCTATTTCTGGTGTTGTTTTCTTTTCATTTTTAAAGCAAAAAGTGAGATCGGATTGTAACCCCCCCCCGCCCCCTTTTACTTGAGAGAGAACATAAAGTGTAGTCATCAATTCAACATTTATTTTACTTGTCCTATAATATATAGACATTACTTAATACAATAATAGCCTATTTCAATTATACTCAAAATGCACTTATTAGGCCCCTATTTACTGCTAAAGAGCAAATAATTGAAGATCAAGTATATATTGTTTTCATGTTGTTTATATTATAGAAACTTGGGCTGAAGCATCTTTAAATTTAAAAAGCTCCCACATTACTTATATGAAAGTACAATTCATTAAGTGACAATTATATTTTCCACATTTTTTTTTTAATTATTATCATTTTACAGCATTCTTTTTAAAAAAAAATCACATTTGATCTCTCTAAGGGCCTGTACGTGTTATGGGCATTGGAATAAAAATGCTCAGAAAGAAAATATGGATAAAAACGTACGTCTTGAACAAATTTTATTAACGAATTTTTTTTTCATATAATTAGTTATCCTTAAACATGTTAAAAGATATAGAATTAAACTAGAATATAAAAATCATGCAAACTTGTGTTTATTAGATTTTATTTATCAGGTCATTATATCCTAAAGCAGGACATTATACCCCTGTCGTTTTTATTATGTCCAATAAAAAGTTTATATATTTTATTTTGCATTTTGCTACGATTCTTATAGAAGATAACAATATTTATTATTTCCAATAAAAATGATATTGTGTATGCACCAAAATTGACAAAAACTATTTATTATAATCAGTCAGGACATTGTACTATAAGGGCATTATACACTTCCGGTGTAAACAGCTTACTCAGGAACTGAGGAAGCAGGTAAGGCATGGTTTGGACTGAAAAAAACACGTCCTTGTTTGATTCCTTGAAACGATTGTGTAATTATGTTCTGGAGACTTGAAGTCTGTACAAAGACACACTACATCAAAGTAGTTTCATGTCGACCGCTTTATACCTGATCATCCTGATCATGGATAAGCCTTTCCGAATTCCCTCGGTTTAATTCTCATTTCACTGTTAGTGTGTTTGTTTATATACAAACAGCTTTTAAATTGAATTTTTAAGAGTTCATTATAATTGTATTTTATATGATATGATCTTTTTTAAAACAGTGTGCAATGTATTTAATTTTTGTATCCTTTCTATCAGAAAGTCGTAGGCTATAATAAGAATCATTTGACTTGTATAATGTATTGTGGTATATTAAGTTTATTTATGTATTCTCAAATTATTTCATTTCGATCCCGATGTAAATTATCTTGCTTATATTTGGAAACACCCACTTTTATGCGACCATCACATCGGGGAGGAAGACGACTGGCTTAATTCTCTATAGTTACACTCTTCACATACTAGAATCATCTTTTTGTCCATCTGTTTATATTGCTTTTATAGTTTATATTTGGGTTAGACTGTATTTTGGTTGGGGGTAAATAATGTATGTAACGTCCAAGCAATTATCAGATAAATTAATAAATCCATTTCTTATTGCAGGTAGTAATAATATGTAAGATATAAGTATGTATAAACGCTCAATGCGTAATCCAAATATTTAATCGCCCTCGGCGATTTACTCCCTTCTTGGAAATCAAAAGTCAGTATCAGTTAACATTTTATTTACACACTTATCATAGTTAAGAATCATCCAAAATCATCACAACAAACACTGTATAATTCATCCTGAAACAATTTTTGAGCAAAGTATATCCCAGCACAACTATATCAAAACTGCGTCCCCGTATTGAATAAGTACCCGTATATATACTAAATGACCATCATTCCAAAGGAGTGATGGGTATAAACAAAAGACCGTCACTCCTAATGAGTGACCGGGTGTGAACAAACTATTCTAAAGATAGAACGAGTGACCGGGAGTTATATAAATACTGCAGAATATTAAATAAACAAATAAAATAATATATTTAGAAAAAGACTGACTTTAAAATACATAACATGTACATCGTAGTACATTATAGCAGTTTTCTGTAAGACTTGTAATAAGTTTGTAAAGTCGGAATACCAATATTGACCTCATAGAATAATTTGACACCTACATGTAGTATCGCGAGTACCTCACAGATATATAAATTCTTACTACCGCTCTTTTGCAAGGGAGTAGAGAAGGCTCTAAATCGCACAATTTAGATATCTGGGGTATAACAATGTTTACACTAGTGACAATCGAATGATTCAAACAACCATTATGCCAAAAGTACAGTGAATTGCCAAGGATTGAAATCTAAATAGTACAAATGTAGCTAGATTATCAAATAAGGAAAGTTAAAGTATTAATGAACTTTCAAAAGTAATGATGTTCAATGAGAATTTAATGAGAAAAGTCTGCTCTAAAGAGAAAAGTAATTGTTAAAAATGTAACATATGAGGATAAGCCATTACAAGGAAGTTTTTGATTATGCAAGAACAATAACGTCATGTTTCTGCATACTAAGTCTTCAGTTTCAGAGAGTAGTGGTATGGATTCAGAAAACCACAGTTTGGTGATCCGGAAAGTTTGAATGTCACGCTAACTTGCTCAAAAGTCAAATATTATATTTTTATTACACGCTTAGTAATAAATACAGGTTTTTTGCATATGCAATATGGCTGACGTCACAATAGCTGTATCAGCCCTGCAGGGCTGATATGGATTTGCGGGGCTGATAACCTATATCAGCCCTGCAAATCCATATCAGACCTGCAGGGCTGATATGGCTATTGTGGCGTCAATATCACACCCTTAATAAATTAAACCACAAAAAACAGTACTTGTGATCATACACAATTTTTGGTGGGTTCATATTCTTGTAATTTTAACTTTTTGAAAATAAATTTAATCTTAATTTACAAATACATATATTTACATTCGCTGTGTTTTTCTACTAAGCCAACTGTTGATTTGAAAATCATTTTCGTGTATACTCACGCCTAGAAATATACACGGAGAAACGTGCGTTACTGTGACGTCAATAGAGCTACAGCGACGTTAGTAAAAGTATATCAATATAGGGCAGCGATAAATTCAAATATTGAGTATATTTTCGATGATTCCAAACATGTAAAATGTAAATATAAGGAATGTTTTTAAGTTTAGTGTGAATTATTGGTGTGAGAATCACACAGACTTGCACGTATGCATATTTGCTAGCGCTTCATGAAATATGCCTACGTGACAAGTCTGTGTGATTCACACACCAATACCTCACACAAAACTTAAAAACATTCCTTAAGTAATAGATTATTTTCAAATTACGGATGGAGTGCATTGAAATAGAAGTAGAAACAAACCCAAATCGTGTGAGACAATAGACCATGTACATGTAGTATGTTAGTTTACTGAGGCCGAAGGCGATTTAAAAGTCAGCCAATTTATTCATTGTTATTAAATGTTGTTGAATTTCCAAATGTTTGACACGTTTGTTCTTGTCTCCAACAAATGTATACACTCATGATTTAAAGCATAGTGTAATAACACATTATGATTAGTGTTGGCAAATCGGACGATTTTTATTAAGCGGTTACTCGCTTCATCTTCCGATTGAGTACCCGGTTACTCGGATGATTTTTGGTAAAAGCATCAATATCTATTATTTATCTTATTGTATACTTATCGGTGGTAGTAATGCACAAATATACTGTATAGGGACATTATATTTACAATACACACATACGATATCGTCAAAGATTTACTGTTTTAAAATAAAGAAATAAGGAAGTCGACACACGGAGAAGACAAATAAATATGTCATTGTCAATCACCATTTTACACTTTCCTTTTCAGCCCCTGAAATATGTCGCAATCAAGGAGAATAATTATTTACATACTCCATAATTAATAGCATAGGCATCGTAACCGGGGGGCTAGGGGGGGCTTAGCCCCCCCCCACTTTTTTTCCAAATATATACATAGTATAGACATTGATCATATCTTCGTGAGTTTAGCCCCCCCCCCCCACTTTCCACAGATACGTCCTAGTATAGGTTAAAATTGGTAAAAGTGTTGGTGTTTGGAAGAAAATTTTTGGTACTGGAGTTCGAACCTTGCCCCCAGCCCCCCCCCCCCCCCCCCCCCCCCACAAAATAGGATTTTCTTGTTTGGGAAATAGACATTTCCTTTTTTCTTTTTTTTTTTTTTTTTTTTGCTTGTCAGATTTTTTTGGAGGTACAAAAAAAAAAATTTCTTACACTTAGCCCCCCCACTTTCAATTTGCTTCCGACGCCAATGAATAGTCAGTATGTGGAGTTTCCAGTAAATCGCTGGTTTCCGAATATTTTAAGATTAGGTGATTTAACAGATTTTGAATCAGCTGTTCTTCTGGTAAACTCCAAGCTTATTATGTCTGCGACAGCATCTCGTTAAATTATCAAATGAGGTAATTATAATTCAGGTCTTCAAAAGATATATACCCCAAGCAGTCAAAGCTATCAATAATATAAACTGTGAAAACTAATCAAAACAGTTTGATCCAATACAACCATGAACTAGATCAAGTCTAATGGTATCTAAAATTAGGGAAATGTGTAAGTTAGTATACCGGTACATTTATAAATTATTAAACATTTATTTCTATGCCTTTACTATGGAGAATTCATCTTATCCCAGTTACCGAGTAGCAGTTTTACTAACCGATACTCACATCGTTCGACAAGAAAGTACAGCAAAACTCGCTTATTACGAACACGGATATTGCGAATTTACGGATATAGCGAAGTCATCTTGGATCCCAAGCTATATAAATTTAATGAAATTCTTATACGGTTATAACGAATTACGGATATAGCGAAGTAATTTCATAGGTCCCTGTGACTTCGTTATAACCGAGTTTTGCTGTAGTTTAGTGCATTGTTATCTAGCATGGTAACATTTACAATGACACATGTTTTAAAACGCCCAATTTGATTGGTAAAAAAATGTTAGCAAATCTATGGTTGGTCAACATGGTCAAGAGGGAAAACCCAAAAACCTCCTGGAACTTTAATTTGAAGTGAACTCACTCTGAGGTACACCCAAAAATACCCAAGGAAAAGGTGTCTAGTCCAACCAGAGAGCACCTTAATCCCTGATCATTTAATTTCTGTGCTTATTGTATAGGAATGGGAACTCAATAGTATTACAAACTTTTACTTTGAGAATAATATTTATAAATTTCTGTATAAAAATGCTTTTACAACATGTATTAAAGATTTGTTCCTGCTTTTAAAAAAAAATCCAATACATTCTGAATTTAATTTATGATTTTTTTTGCTAGAATGTTCAAGGCAACCAGAATCTTGAGTCCATCCTGAACATAGAGACAACACAGATATTAGCAAAGCTGGATAATGTTGCTAGAGGATTAGTTAATGCAACTCAGCAAGGACTAGTGATGGATATGTTCCAGGTTCCACAGCTAGGAGAATGTCAGGAAGAAAAGCCTCATCATTAAAAGTGTTACAGGTGAGTTATTTAGGAATTTAAGAAATCAATAGGATAGATAAAGATTCACTAGAGAATGAATTTTTTGTTGGTTCATGATCACATCTATTGAGAAGCCAAAGGCAAAAGTATTGCATGCAGTAAATATTGTTTGGATGTAATCACACTTATATCATTGTATATAAATAACCTTTATCCGTATTGATAAATATTTTGAATTCATTTCAGATAATATAAATCTAAATTCATTACTGTGTCAAATTATATTTTCGTTTCCAATGTCTTTGTTCAAAAGACAATTACAAATAATCAAATGAATGCACTTTATTTCTCCATCAATATACTGGTTCATTGATAGGCGCTGCTAATTTATGGCACTTTTATTTATGCACATTATCATGCCAACCAATTGATTGATCACATCATGAAATCGAAAAATAAGACAGTTACAGTCTTCATGAAAACTTTTCAAACTACCTGGCCAGTCGGACCAGTGATCTTTCAAAATGTACTGGCCCACCAAAATTTTTACTGGCCCCTTAATGAAAAAATAACATATATATATATCCATTTTTATAACTGTCAATTAATACATGTTTACGCACTTCAACTTTTGAAATGCCGCCATTTTTCGTCCTTTGTCGTGTTTCGGTAAGCTGTTCGTTGGAAATTCGCACATTTTACGTACTAGTTAATAGTTACTAGCTAGTTCCTGTTGTTACGTAATACATCCAGGTTATAATAATACGATTCAACAACACGTGTTCGTTCTTTTTATTTTATATATTAATGAAATTTAAGCAAGTAAGTCAGTTAAAATATATACCAGGTATTGACTGTGTATGATTTTTAAAATCAACAAGCCCATCGGACTTCTTGAATTTTTATTTTCACTGACACGACATCAAAATTCACTGGCCTCGGTATTTGGACCAGTGAGTTTTCGTGAAGACTGCAGTTATTTCTTAAATAACATTTTTATTCATTTATTTAATACATGTATGAATTTTGCCAGCATCTTCAGATGGTGAAATGTCAAGCAATAAGTGCATTCCAAGCCCTCAAGAAGTTGTGTCAAGCCCTAGTCGTAAAGGCATTCCAGATCTAAAGAATAGACATGGACCTATATGTATGGTTTTATTGATGAAAGTGTGCCATCCCCAGTGACAAAGGTGAACCAGTTTCTGAAAATGGAGATGAAGCTTGACCCTGGAAAGAAAGCATGCCTGTCTAGGGACTGAGATCTGCAAGTTCTAAATGAAGGAGATTTGCCAGGTACTGATATTACTGATATCCTACATGTGGGTCCCATCTGCTCAAGGTTCCAATAGTGAAAAATCTTGGTTAGGAATGAAGTGTCATCAGGTATTGCTTCTATCAAGAATCTTCTTTCTTTAGAATTAATATGTTTAAAGCTTAAATTATTAGGGCCCGCAAGGATTTGCGGGTGCCCTGTAGTAATCACTCTGTCTGTCCGTCTGTCATTCCTCTGTCCACAAATTTTCTGTTTTTTTCCTAATAACTTTTTTTATGGTAGCCCAATTAAGTTCACATAGGAAAATTTTTTAAAAATCTTCTCAAGAACCACTGGGCTGGGAAAGATGAAACTCATGTGAAATTATCCTCAGGTAGTGTCGATTCAAGTTTGTTCAAATCATGACCCCCGGGATAGGGTGTGGCCAAAATGGCTGATCAAAGTTATATATAGGAATTTATAGTTAAAATATTTAAAAATTTCTTTTCAAGAACCACAGGGCCAGGAAAGATGAAACTCGTGTGAAATCATCCTCAGGTAGTGTCGATTCAAGTTTGTTTAAATTATGACCCCAGGGGTAGGGTAGGGCCAAAATGGCTGATCAAAGTTTTACATAGGACTAGATAGGGAAATCTTTTAAAATCGTCTTCTCAAGTACTTCAAAGCCATGATTAGTGATATTTATGTTGAAACATCCTTAGGTAGTGTAGAATTAAATTTGTTCAAACCATTATAACGCCTAAGGGTAGGGTGGGGCCACAATGGTGAATCAAAGTTTTACATAGAAAAATAAAGAGAGAAATCCCAAGAATAGAAAAGCTATGTTTAGTCATATTGACATGTAAGCATCCTCATGTATTTAGGATTTAAATTTATTCAAATCATGGCCCTTTGGGGCAAGAAGGGAAACAATGGGGAATCAAATTCAAATTATTATGAAGTTATACATAGGAAGAAAGTGTTTTTAAAAAATCTTTTTATCAAGAACAGTAAAGTCATATGCTGTGTTTATATGAAGGCATTGTCAAGTAGTATTAATTCAAGCCCCCCCCCCCCCCCCTTTTCAATAAACTTTTCCTGATCTGATTTGTGCTTTTTCCTAGCCGATTTGCTCAGGTGAGCGATGTGGTCCCTGGGCCTCTTGTTTGAAATTACTGGGATCAAAGCTGTTGATTATTGCTCAAAAGTTTATCATATACTTACACATTTTATTCTGGTTGAAATGTTTGTAATTTTACTATTAAGTTGCAATTTTTTCAGAGGCACTAAAGGAAACTGATGGCATTGTTTTTGTGTGGGTGATGAGAATAAGAGTGAGGAGGAGATAGATGACAGTCAAGACAATCAGGATGTCCATATTGTCACTCCAGGTACTGTATACACACTGCATTACCCATTTTAAGCAATAAGTTTCTTAACTTGAAATTATATGCAGAAACCCAGCATGGCCAGCCAGTCTACATGCATGGAAAATTTTCTAAAGACTTGATATTGAGTATTACCAGTAGAGCTTCAGTCTAAAATGCAAACAGGTGGTTCTATTCAAGGATAGGCCAGAGCATAGTTCAGACAGAAGTTATTTGCATTGATTGAACTACTGTAGATCACTAAATTTTCGCGACACCTTATTTTCGCGAGAAAGTCATTGACTCTTGATTAGCGAGACAAAATTTTCGCGAATTGTGGTTATTGCTCTATATAATCTAAAGGAATACTATTAAACGCGAGAATTAAATTTTTGCGAGCACACTGTCTCGCGTAATTACGCCAAAATAAAGTTCTCGCGAATAAAAAGTGATTTACAGTATACCAATTTCAGTCATAACATTTCACAAATATGTCTTCTGAATGTAGATGGAGGAGCTAGCTGAGATTAAATTCATAATCAACAAAATATTTTACTGGATGTGAATTTATATAGCAAAGCTTTCAAGTACACAGACCATTCAAATAAAGAAAGTACCTATGTATCACAAATATACTTATTGGTTAGTAAACAATCATTCTCCTGCCAGACTATATTTCAGATGAAAAAAATTGCTTTAACTCTTAGAGCTATTTTTATTATTATTTTTTTTTTTTGTACAGACCATACCACCAACCAAGGAAAATTATATTTTGAAAATATCATTTTAGGGAAGAAGAAGTCATTTCTGATCCTAGATCTACTGTGGAAGATTCTACATGCAAGTGACAAGAGATACAAAAAAATCCCAAGGACATCATGAGAAATGAATTTAATCAACAGACATTGTGGAAAAGATTTCCTAAAAAATTGTAATAGGACCTTAGAGAAGTGTAAAACACCAAGGATATAATCTTGTTAAAAAACAGAGAAAATCTATATTAACATTCTACTTTCAATTGATATACTTTGAGAAATATGATAAACACTGTGTTTTAAAGCCACAGTAATGGAGGACATTGAATTCTTTGTAGCAGTTTTATCATTAGGCCATTCCAATTTTTTTCTGTGTTTAGTGTCTGCGGATGGATTGGTTTTGAGGTCATGCAATCAAGAACAAACACAAAATGAAATTGACAAATACAAATCTTTGACAAGCAATTTACTCTTCTGGGATCAGCATCTCTCTTTTTTAAAAGTGATGTGCTCAAGTTTTTTTTTTTGTTTCATTAAACTAGTAGTTGTAGTAGTTTAATTTAGTTATAATATGAGGAAAATTCTCAAATGATGCTAAAGGAGTTCTAGAACTTTGCGTAAAATGTTGTTTTTTCCCCTTTTGGTTTGTAATTTTTTTTTTGGAAGGAAAGAAATGTTTTGAAATTTAGGTTGGATGCTAAACAAAGAAAAAACTTGGAATGGCCTCATATAACCTACATGGACTAAACTTGCATAGATGAAGAGTGCTTAAGAAGCTGTGCATGATGTATGTAGGAAATGATTTTGAGGTATTAAATATTCTATGCAAAAGGAAATTTTCTCAATTTAGTTAATTTTTGCAAAAAAATGTTTAAGCATCACATACATAACCTTTCTGAAAGTGAAAAAAATATTCATCCTAATTAAGTTTGATCAAGTCTTTAGTTCAAGTTATATGCAAAAATACATATTTCATTCTTTATAAACACTATGATATTGCTGTACTTTTCTTATGTGAATTGAATATAAAGAGTTGGATTTGATGCATAAATAGTCCTGTTCTTATACTAGTTCTTTGAGAATCACCCCCTGTCCCATTTTTAACATCAAAATAAAGTATGGAGTATTTCTCATTTCCTTTAACAAAGATTTTTTATAGAGTCCTGAGATTGGAAGTTAAACAAGATTTCAAAGTTCTTGAAATATTAAAAATGCAAAAAAAGGAATTTTCAGGATATGAGAGAATTCAAATGGGACCTTGAGACTTGGTCAGTTAATTGGTATATATATGGAGGGCCATTTTATGGATAAAGTGAACCTAGCTCTTTTCACCATTTCGATAGATTACACTGTCACCAAGTATCAAAATGATAAACTGATGCATTGGTTACCAAAACTGAGTACTTTTGATTTCTCACAATTCACAGGGCCAAAAAAAAAGCTTTCAGTGAACCTTGCTCTTTATTACATTTATGTCTGTAAACTTTTACCATGTGCAAACGTCCTTTGTTTCTAGAAATGCCATTATCTTCTGTAAGTCCCCAAACTTTTAACATGTGTATAAGGTCCTCAGTCTCTATAAATACCTATATCATGTGTAAGTCCCCAAACTTTTAACATGTGTATAAGGTCCTCAGTCTCTATAAATACCTATATCATGTGTAAGTCCCCAAACTTTTAACATGTGTATAAGGTCCTCAGTTTCTATAAATACCTGTATCGTGTGTAAGTCCCCAAACTTTTAACATGTGTATAAGGTCCTCAGTTTCTATAAATACCTGTATCGTGTGTAAGTCCCCAAACTTTTAACATGTGTATAAGGTCCTCAGTTTCTATAAATACCTGTATCGTGTGTAAGTCCCCAAACTTTTAACATGTGTATAAGGTCCTCAGTTTCTATAAATACCTGTATCGTGTGTAAGTCCCCAAACTTTTAACATGTGTATAAGGTCCTCAGTTTCTATAAATACCTGTATCGTGTGTAAGTCCCCAAACTTTTAATACCTGTGTAAGTCCCCAAACTTTTAACATGTGTATAAGGTCCTCAGTTTCTATAAATACCTGAATCATGTGTAAGTCCCCAAACTTTTAACATGTGTATAAGGTCCTCAGTTCTATATTAATACATGTACCTGTATCATGTGTAAGTCCCCAAACTTTTAACATGTGTATAAGGTCCTCAGTTTCTATTAATACCTGTATCATGTGTAAGTCCCCAAACTTTTAACATGTGTATAAGGTCATCAGTTTCTATAATTACCTGTATCATGTGTAAGTCCCCAAACTTTTAACATGTTTAAAAGGTCCTCAGTTTCTATAAATGTTCTTATCCTATGCAAGTCCCCAAACATTAGGTATGTGTATAAGGTCTCAGTTTCTATAAATATATGAATGAAGTCTTCAGTTTCTTTTATTAGCCTTATCATGTATAAGTCCCTAAAACTTTTATCGTGTGTATGAGATCCTCAATTTCTTTTTATATCTTGATCTTAAGTAAGTCCCTAATTTCTATATATATATATGTATCTTGATCTTGTCCCTAAAGTTTTACCATGTGTGTAAGGTCCTCAGTTTCTTAATTTTCAAACTGTGCAAGTCCAAAAATTATAACCGTATGTACAAGGTCTTCAAAAAACCCTTTTCTTGTTTGTTGGTACATGTTGTTTAATGTCCCTGCAAATTTTGTCCTATATTTGGCACGTACGGACATGGAGAAGTGAGGGATCTTTTCCGTGCAAACACCTGCTGCAACAAGGGAACTCGGTTTATACGGTCTCATCCGAAGGATAGGTATCCACGTCCCACAGTTGTATTCGAACCTGTGACGTAAGGATCAATTAACCCCAATTAATTGCAAATCTAGAGCAGACGCTCTAACCACTGCGCCATGCGGGCGAGACACCTTTGTCTTGTGTAAGTCCTAGCTTAAATTATACCATAATGAATATAATCCTTTTAAATAATGAAAACATAATGTAATGCGATATTAGTTAATAAAAGTGTCCTTTTATAACATGCATACATGTATTTCTTATCAAATAAGTTCAAGAGCTCTTGTATTTTAAAGGCTGATACAGAGCAGTATCGGTTACAGCTACAGTAACTTTATTTCCGACGCTCAATAATAAACAGGCACACTCAATAACTAGTGGTAATTGTAACGGGGACCGTTACAGATGTTCCCCAAACGCTCCCCAACTCCCTTTTGGTGCCATATTCCCTGTAAGCTTCATTAAATAAGACAAACTCTATGCATCTGAGATTTTAACAACATTTACCAAGAAGTGTACAAAAATCATTTAAACTTTAGCATTTCACGCGTGCACATGTGAATGCATTTGCGTCATGACCTTATCATCTTGTCTGCACAATCTATATTTTAATACACTGAATATTAAAGTATTTAATCCAAAATTATTAAAAAAAATACGCTCATTCAAGTGTATGTTTGATTTTACTCATTTCACGCGCACGCACGTGCATACATGAGCATGGTGACCATACCTTCTTGTAGAAGTCCATTACATCTATCTATGTTCTAAATTCCACCCCGTTTGGGTGAAAACTAAGAGAGTTATAGCTGTTCAAAGTTTCAGCCAATCAGATTGCAGCACATGTACACACACGTGTATGCATGTGCATTGT